TCTTCACCTTGGTTCAAATGATTGTGTATACTTTCAATGGAGTTTTTAATCTGGATATCTGTTTGAATCTGTTGTATAGATTCCATTTATTTCCTATTTTGGGTATTCATGGTTTCCATCATTTTCCTAAGCTCCTCTATTTTTTTTTAATCTGTTTCTACTGTGCGTTGGTGGTATACTGGTGAGAGTATCTGATTTTTCATATCCATTAGCATTGTTTTATATAGTTGTGTGTGCCAGTATTTGGGGAGTATGTATTTATGATTGTTTTCTCTTCCTCTTGGATTGTTACCTTAACAAGTATGTAGTGATCTTCCTGTCTCTTCTGATCAGTGTTGGCTTGAAATCTCCTATGTCTGCCAGTAGACTAGCTACTCCTGCTAATCTGTTTCTTTTGATTGGTGAATAGAGAGCATTCACCATTGATGGTTATAACTGATAGGTATTTAACCAGGTGTGGTGGCACATGCCTGTAATCCCAGCACTCAGCAGGCAGGAGCATCTCCTTGAGTGTGAGGCCAGCCTGAGCTACATAGTGAGTTCAAGGCCAGCCTCAACTACATAGAGAGACCTTGTCTCATCATTATACTATTTTCCTGTTGTTGGTTCCCTTTCTTTCCCTTCTATTAAAGTGCTTGGCTCACCTGATAGATTCATTCTATTGGGGTTCTTGGAAGTGTTGTCTTCATTGTTTCTTTTTTTTTCCATTAAGTTTATTGGTACATTTTAGGTATAAAATACAGTTACATTATTCATTGGGATCTTGTACCTTTACATGATGTATCTTGGTTCTTATTTTTTTTCCCCTTCCCCTGCCCTCGCTTCACCCCCTCCAACCTTGACTATTTGCAAAGACTTTGTTTCCATTTTTTTCCTTTTCTCATATTTTGTCTTTTTCCTTTTTTCCTTTCCCCCACCCCTCCCACTTCCCCTGCTCCTTTAGACCTTTTCTTACTGCTACACAATATCAATTACACATTTTTTAAATTACAATATCATGATCTAGGAGACATTACCACAGATTTTACAGAATTTAAAAGGATATAGAAAGCATATTTCAAAAATATTTTTGAAATAAATTTGACAACTTCTAAGAAGTACCTTGGAAGACAAATTAATGAAACTAACTCTGGAGGAAATATAAAATTTGAATAGCACCTATT